ATAATTCCATTTACATTCAGCCAAGCACTGCAAAGCACTGTTAAAAACAAAACAAAAAGGTCTGCTTCACTAATGTTTAAAAACTCCCAAGTTTAATTAAACAAAAAAATCTTTATTTAAATATGTCAGTATGGTGTTCATTTATACTTTCTTATTCATATCTTTACTTTAGAAAGCTAAGATCTTGGCTCAGCACCTGTGGCTCAGGTGGCTAAGGCGCCAGCCACGTACACCCAGGGTGGCGGGTTCAAATCCAGCCCAGGCCCACCAAACAACAATGACGGCTGTAAAAAAAAAAAAAAAAAGCGTGGTGCCTGTGGCTCAGTGGGTAGGGCACTGGCCCCATATACTAAGGGTAGTGGATTTGAACCTGGCACTGGCCAAACTGCAACAAAAAATATCTGGGTGCCGTGGTGGGCACCTGTAGTCCCAGCTACTTGGAAGGCTCAGGCAAGAGAATCGCCTAGTTACAGGTTGCTGTGAGCTTCGCCACCACAGTACTCTACCAAGGGTGATAAAAGGGAGATAGGTAGTTTTCAAACAATTCATAGTAAAACAGTAGAGATTAGAAGGTTATATGTGGAATTTGGGGTACAAATTTGATCAGGTAGAAGTTTTTGTCATGGTATGGCAGAGCAAAATGACTGATGAGATGAAGAGGCAATAAAAATGTATCAATTGAGTATCGTCAGCAATAAGCAAGGCTATCATCTCTGTGTAAATCTTGTAGGCATTATCTATCAGTACCTCTCTGGACAGAGATGTGTTCCTTTCTTTGTTTTCCTCTTTTTTTTAAAGCCTATTATTTTTTGCTTTTCATATCTTCTACCTCTCTGTCTGATTCGATTTAATTCACATTACTCTTTTCAGGTCTATTTATAGAAATGGTAATCTAATGAGGTTCTTTTTCTTTCTTTTTGTAAAGTGCTAAGAACCTGTTGGCCTCTGAAGTTTTGAATTAATCACCCCGGAATGGAGGTCACTCACTCATCAAAATTGTTAAAATTAGGCATGCTAAAAAAAAGAAAAAAATTAGGCATGCTTACAAGATCTGTGAACACTAAGAAGGGCTTTTGTGCATCTTTTGTAACTCTCTGATCTCCAAGTTGATTGCCTAGGCTCATTAAATCACACCTACCTTTTTAATGCTTTTTTTAGGTAGAGACAGAGTCTTACTTTATCACTCTCCATAGAGTGCCGTGGTATCACACAGCTCACAGCAACCTCCATCTCTTGGGCTTAGGCGATTCTCTTGCCTCAGCCTCCCGAGCAGCTGGGACTACAGGTGCCTGCCACAATGCCCAGATATTTATTTGTTGCAGTTTGGCCAGGGCTGGGTTCGAACCCACCACCCTCTGTATAAGGGGCCGGCGTCCTACCCACTGAACCACCAGTACCACCCTTTAATGTTTTCTTTTTTTTTTTTTAATTGAATGGTAACTATGTACATTAATGCACTTCTAGGGTACAGTGTGGGGTTTTCACACACAATCCAAAACACTTCCATCAAACTGGTTAACACAGCCCTCATGTCATTTTCTTAGTTATTATTTTAAAATGTTCACATTCTACTCTTAGATTCACTTGTACCCTTGTAAGATAAACCTCAGAAGTGATCCCTCCAATCCTCCTCCCTCCACCCACTCCCCCCTCCTCCCTGTATTCTTAGGCTATTAGGTTATAGCTTTCAGATAAAAGGTATAAATTAGTTTCATAATAGGGGTGTGTACATTGGATACTTTTTCTTCCATTCAAAAATATGGAACGCTTCACGAATTTGCGTGTCATCCTTGAGCAGGGGCCATGCTAATCTTCTCTGTATCGTTCCAATTTTAGTATATGTGCTGCCGAAGCAAGTACTTAATGTTTTCTAAGAGTAGTAAAGAAAACAAAATGGCTATACTATTCCATAGACCAGGGCATACCAAAGAAAAGGAAAGAAGGAGTTTATTAGTCTAGAAATGAACTGTTATTATACTGATTTTAAATTCTAACTAATTACAGAAGCCTATAACCCAAATATACTCTAGGGAGAATTAAACCTTCAGAAAACACTCTAAAAAGACTTATAGGAAATCACAAGTATATTATGCCTTACAATTATCACCTATATATCCACAGGAAACTGACTCTTTTCATTTAGAAAACTAAAAGAAAAAGAGGGCTCAGTGTCTGTAGTTCATTGAGTAGGGCGCCAGCCACATACACTGAAAATGGTGCGTTCAAGCCCAGCCCAGGCCTGCTAAACAACAATGACGACCACAACCAAAAAACAGCCAGGCATTGTGGTGGGCGCCTGTAGTCCCAGCTACTTGGGAGGCTGAGGCAAGAGAATTGCTTAAGCCCAAGAGTTTGAGGTTGCTGTGAGCTGTGACTCTACAGCACTCTACTGAGGATGACAGAGTAAGACTTTGTCTCAAAAAAAAATAAAAGAAAAGAAAAGAAAAAGAAAACTACATATTCAAATGAGACAAAGAAAATAAAATTCTTGAATGGGATATGAGGTAGAAAAAGAATGAAGAAAAATCAATAAGGCTGTTTAGTCTTTAAGAAAAATGTTGGTGGCTCGGCGCCTGTGGCTCAAGCGGCTAAGGCGCCAGCCACATACACCTAAGGTGGCGGGTTCGAATCCCTAGCCCGGGCCCGCCAAACAACAATGATGGCTGCAACCAAAAAATGGCCAGGCGTTGTGACGGGCGCCTGTAGTCCCAGCT